AATCCCCAACATTCTGTGATTCTGTGGATGAGGAAAAAAAAAAATCTGTGGCACTAGGACTTGTATTCCTTGAACAGCACTACTGGAGCAACTGGTAATTTTTAATATATTGGGGCGTAGGGTCTTATAACCCAAATCATTCATATAGCATCACTCCACTAGTTTAAATGGAATTACTTTCAGGTTTTACATCAGAGTTATGGCCCTGAGGTTTTTGTTTGCTTAGAGTTTATTAATTTTGAGGGTTTTCATATGACTAGAACAATTTGAATAACATTCAAAAATACTTAATTTATTTCTTGTTTCTTTTCCAGTGCTGTATATATATAGTCTGACAATTCTGCATGTTGTCTGTTTATAAAGTAGTCCTTGGTTTTTGCACTTGTATGGTGATTTGTATTACATATCATGCTCCAAAATATTATTTTAAACTGCATGGGAATCCTTACATTAATTCCCCTACTCATCAATAAATTATCTTTATTATTTCAAATGTATACAGTAAGTATCAAAAAATACCTTGTTTGTAGTTTAAACTTATAATAAAATGGAAGAAGCTTTAAATATTACCTAGTGATTTTGTTACACAAAATAAAAAATTATGCATAAAACTAATTTCCTGTGTTATGTGTCTTCCACTAAGGTCTGCTGTTTCTCTGTAAATGTTCATGTTTTGTAATACTTATCTTTTGCAGGCCATTAGGATCTGAAAATCTGCTTCTTAGAGGAGCCACTTTAAAGAATACAGAAAAAGTCTTTGGTAAATATTTCTGTTGAGTAATTAAAAGGACCCTGAAGTAATAAGCAAACATCAAACAGGGTTACAACCCTACAGTTACTACTGAGCATACGATTTCTATTGAATCACTTGATTTACAGCTTTTTAATAGGGTTTACTGTTGCTGTAATTGCAGTAAAGTGACTATTAATGATGTACAATGACTATAGAGAGTTTTGGGAGGAGGATTTTATAGTTTGGTCTTCAAGGATTAGTGAAGATGACTCAACTTTTTCATGTAAATATATGGCTTTTGACCAATCACTGTGAATTAATGTTGTTGTCCCAAAGCAGTTAATGAGCCTGTTGAAGAATTTTACATGCTTTGCTCATTTGTCAAAAGACCTACCCCAACCAGACATAAATATGGCTCGTGGAAAAAAAAAATCCACTTAAATAGTTTCTGATCAAAATGAGACTTTCTTCTCTCCAGTGTATTTGGGTGTATGAATTGTCTTAGTTCCATGGAAAAATTTGAATATTTTAGCAGAAATAGGACACACAAATTGAGATATGTTTTTTGGAAATTCTTCAAGAAAACCTAGTGGGAGTACTAGTTCTGTTGTAACAAGCCAGTCTTTGCTGGTGATGAAAGGGACAAGGATCCATGTCATCCTCTATCATATACAACTTCCATACTCCCAAGAAAGATCATAGATGGCTATGAACTGCTTAGCGTAAAATATCAGAATGTTGCAACTTTTTCTCCAAAAATAGTATAGAAAGTATATATTAATTTAAACTTGCTCTCTTTGCTTTTAACTGTAATCTAAGATAGGTGAACTAATATAATTAGTTTGTAGTAAGTATTTCTGTAGACTTTAGAGGATGGGTTTAATATTTCTGTTAACTTGTGTATCAGGCAGAGATGTTCTTAATATGAGTGGTTGTTTCTGGTCTACCTAACACATGAAGCGTTTGCCATTACCCCAGCACAATCCATATCCTAAATTATTTTGTTTTAACAATGTGCAGGTTTAATAAATACTTTAAATACATCTTCTTGTTTACAGCTTCTTTTAGTTCTATTTAATCTTCTGAAGTTTAGTCTCTCAATCTGTGTTATGAACAGGAAATCAGTAGTGCCAAAAGATCCCTTTTTCATGAATTATTAAATTTTCTTGAAGCAAACAAAATCAATGGCTGCCTTTTATTCTTCTTGGATGTATGTTGTAGTTTAGCCCTATCTGGATTTTCTTTTACAAAGCATGACTTAGATTCTAAAAGTAAAACCAAAAAAAAAGAACTTAAAAATGCAAGAGGATTTATTCAAAACCTGGCTTTGGTTTGGCTTTGAGACATAACAACGTGTTAGCAGTTGGGAACTGTGACTCTGGAATGAGATGTAAGTGCTGCTTAAAATTTCCCTCTGACAACCATGGTATTAAACCCATTTCTAGTTTCTGAGTATCATCCAAATTTTTGTTCTTTTTCTTCAGACTACAGAGAATTAAAGAAATGATAGAATATAATAATCTAATGAATTGTGGTTTTATTAAGTTATTATACTGTACAGTCTTTAGTAAATTAAATTGTCTAATTTCAGGTGTTGCTATCTACACTGGCATGGAAACTAAGATGGCATTAAATTACCAGGCAAAATCACAGAAGCGATCTGCTGTAGAAAAGTAAAATTTCTAATATTTATTTTGAGGGTGGAAAACTGCTTGTTTGAATATTGAATAACATGGGATTTTTTAAATTTTTTTTTAATGAAAGTGTATATTCCATTGATCTAGATTAAAAAAAGAGGTACAGGGCCTTATAATTTGCTTTGTATGTGTGTCATTTTTCACTTATTTATAAAATTAGTCATATAACACCATATAAATAAGGTTCTCAATCCTGAATTCTTACTAAATGTTAAATATTAAAAAGAAAAAAGCACCACTTTAATGTAATGCTTTAGCTTTTTAAGATATGATGTGTTTTGCTGTTCTGGAAGACTTTTTTCTTACTGGTTAGAGTACACCTCATAATAGTTTTCCAAGATTATGTGCTTCGATATCCTAACATTTCTTTTCATGACAATTAAGTCTTGAATTCAGTAAAAATAACTCTTTTGATGCACTTCACTTTGGATCGACTGCAGTAACACAAAGCCTGTCTGTGGCAGGTTTTCCATGGTTTAGCTAAAATTAAAAGTTCCATAGAGGTGTATATGATGGGAAATGAAGACACTGCTATCCTCAAGGATATTTTCTAGTCCTACTCTACTGTCCAAAATCATCAGCTCTGAGTAAGGTGTCAAACCTTATGGGGGGAAAAGAAAAAGTCATTGATTAAAGCAAGATGTACTGACCAGGTGACAGCCCTTCTCTTACGCAGTGACTGAGCAATGATGATGTGTCTCTTTCTATTTTTATTGATTATAACCCATAACTTCTAGTTCATGCCCATCATTAATGTAAATATAATTTTAAATATGAAGTGTTCTTGCTCTTTCTTTTTTTTAGATCTGTCTAGAAAGAGTCAAACCATTACAGCTACATAGAAAAATATTCTCTATAGATTTATATTTCTATAAAAGTGCTTATGTGAGTGTTTTTGTATTGGTTCACGGAAATGACATAAAAAGGTCTTCAGATACAAACGCAGTTAATTCTGTTATGATTTCATCTGTGCAATTGTTTTCACTAATGCACTAGGTTTGGTAGTGTGTCACACACATTTTGGAAACAATTATAGCAGTTAAATTTTTAAAATAGAAAATGGTCCTAAATAATGTTTTTCTTCACTGGGAAAACACAGTAGAGAAGTAATGTAACATCATGGTATTGTTAGACTTGCAACAAATGTTAGGCTGAAGCACAAGTATAACATTTTTTAATAAACTCTGTAGTTTATATGCTAATGCAATTTTTATTTTGCCTTTTTTCTAGATCAATGAATGTATTCCTTATTGTATACCTCTGTATTCTCATCAGTAAAGCACTAATAAATACTGTCCTGAAATATGTCTGGCAGAGTGATCCATTTCGTGATGAGCCGTGGTATAATCAGAAAACAGAGCCAGAAAGGAAAAGAAATCTGGTATGGAAATAAATGAATACACTAAAAAAAGTTTCACTAAATCCTTAATTTATAAGAACCTGTACGCCTGTAAAGAAAAATACAAATTTAAAACAAACAAGGTTTTTTTTCTTCATGCCAAATCGGTTGTGATGTTACAAATCATGAGGGTGTACTTCCTGTGCTGAACTGTGAGCTGTGAAAGGTGTTACTTACTGTTTGAAAGTTACTAGAAAAAAGTATTTCATAAATGTATGTAGTCATCTTTTGGTTTTTGATGGTACATGAAAAATCAATATTTTCATCTTGTTTCTTTGGCAGTTTCTTCGAGCTTTTACGGACTTCCTTGCATTCATGGTTCTTTTCAACTACATCATTCCTGTATCCATGTATGTCACTGTGGAAATGCAGAAATTTCTTGGTTCTTATTTCCTTACATGGGATGAGGAAATGTTTGATGAGGACACAGGTGAAGGACCACTGGTGAATACTTCTGACCTCAATGAAGAGTTGGGACAGGTAAATTTCATCAAATGATAAATTTTTCAACTGTTTTGACCATAATTTTTTATTCTAAAATTGGCACTTCAGCTTTTTTTTTTTTTTACAGCTTAGTGTACATTTTTTTTAGTGCTGATTAATTTTAAAAATAACATTTGAGTCTGATTTTCAGAATAAAATATTCTGATTTCTCAGCCAATCAGTGGAAGTCAGTTAGTATTACTGTATTAGTAAAGGATGAATACTTCAAAAAGGTAATGATTTCTCTCCATGGACCATAGAGGGAGATTATATAAGCATCTAACTTGCTTAGAGTAAAAGTCAGATGGAAAAAAAACCCCTTTTTGTCTGGCTAGACTGACACCAAATCTCCAAACACAAGTTTCATTCAGTAAAATCATTTGACTGTCATTCTCATTTTCCAAAAGAAATTCTGTGTTTAGTACTCTATGTTAAGAAAATAATCACCTTGACACAGATACATGTGAATATTTTTTGAGTAAATATTTAGGATCTCTATTAATTAAAAACATTTTCATATGTGTGTTCAAATAAATAAGATGCTGTATTTCCTTATTTTTACATGGCCAGTCTAGTAATTTAAGCTTTTAGGGACACATATCTATTTGAATAAAAGGTGGTACCAAGGATTTTGTTATTATGGGAGACAGTTGTCACTGTCTCCTATAAAATCCTCGTAGAAACTGATGAATTATGGGCTGAATGAGCAGTCAGTGTGGTGGATTGAAAACTGGCTGAACAGCCAGGCCCAGAGGGTGGAGGTGAGCAGTGCAAAGTCTAGTGGGAGGCCAGTAACTAGCAGTGTACCTGGAGAAGGGAAGGTTTAGGGAGGATCTTATCAATGTATATAAATACCTGAAGGGAAGGTGCAAAGAGGACAGAGCCAGGCTTTTTTCAGTGGTGACCAGAGGCAATGGACACAACCTGAAACAGAAGGGTTCCTCAGAACATCAGGAAACACTTTTACTGTCACAGTGACTGAGTTGCCCAGGCAGACTATGGAGTGTCCATCCTTAGAGATAACCAAAACCTGTCTGGACATGGTCCTGGGCAACCAGCTCTTGATGACCCTGCTTGAGCAGGATGGGTGGACCAGATGACCTCTGGAGGTGCCCTCCAACCTCAACCATTCTGTGATTCTGTTATAAAAAATAACCTACTAAATTTAAGTGTCATCCCTAGCATGGGACCCTCATCAGTACTTGGTGTTATTAATACCAATCCAATGAACTAAATTTTCCTTATACATTTTTGGAAGATATTATACATTGTATTTCTAATGAAGGTTTTGATCCTTATTTGTGGTTGTAGTAAATACTGTCATAGTGATATACATGCTTTATTCCTTTTTTCATGTAATGGGTGTTGATCCCAAAGCAGCATGCTGAATGTATAAAAGACCTTTGCTTGATAGCTTTTTGTATCTTGTATTAAATGTATTATGAAAATGAATATAGGAGTTGAGATGAAAGAAATCCATATAAATCCTGTCCACTTTGAAAAAAGCTGAATAAGAGTATTGTGTCCACAGATAACAAACCACTGGAAATTTTGCAAACTTGCATTTTCAGATTAATGAATATTAGAAAAGTCAGTCTAGGAGGAAAGTTTGCATATTTAATAACTTCTCTTATGACTGAGAGCAAAAATTTGCTTAATTTTTTTATGCACTTCATAAATGTTGAAGTTTGTTAAACAATCTGATGAATACCTAATTGCCTTGCAGTGTTTTAATTCCCAACCTTATGTAATGCTCTCAGTTTATAAAAAAAAATATATGCTATCTTTATGGAATATGTATACCCAATATCTAGAATTGAGCTTGTACAGATCTAACTCTTCTTATTTATAGTTCATATATTGATGTTGTTATCCTTAAATGCTGGGGCTCATTGTAAAAGATAAAAATAATGAAAAAATCAATATAGAGACAAAGGGAATGTTTCCAGGGCAATAATAGTGCCCGTGTGTATAACTTCATGTGACCATTAGTCCAGAGTCCTCATTTAAACTAACATAATTGTAGTGGGCAATTCTCCTACTACTCTAAGGACTGTTCTGATAGTAACTGATCTAAATCCAGGTACTTATATTAAATAATGATTCCTGGGAAATGGAATTTGTGTGCATTTTGTTTCCATAGATATCTGTTGTGCAGCAAGAAAGACATTAAAAAGGAAAAAGGAGCTTGAGAGAAGAGTGAAAGTAGGATAAACACATTATTTATATGTGTTAGGAGGCAAAAGGCAGCTTTGCTGATACTCTTGTATAGTAAAATCTTTTAGGGCCCACATTTTTCCATGGAAGATGACTCCCAAAAGAAATTGTTGTCTTCCTTTTCTGGAAGAGCTTGCATAAGGATATTTAAAGAAAGGTGTAACCCAGTAATAATCTCAGTTTTGTTAAGAGATGGTGGAAAATCTCTGTTCATTTTCCTGCTGTTTTTAATTTGTGCTCATTTGCAGATTGAGTATGTCTTCACAGATAAAACAGGAACATTAACTGAGAACAACATGGAATTCATAGAATGTTGCATTGAAGGGCACGTTTATGTACCACATGTTATCTGCAATGGCCAAATTCTCCACGATTGTACAGGCATTGATATGATCGATTCTTCTCCAGGAGGAAGTGGAAAGGTATGAAGGGTCTTTCTAGGTTCTTGTTTTACACAGTGAAATATGAAGATTGAACTGTGCTCATGAAGGGAATATTAGAAATATAACATCCTTGAATTTCACTGATAAAAGTAGATAACTGCAGGAAATGCATAACAGCTTAGAGGTTTTCCTTTCCTGGTTTAGAGTAAGATTTAATAGGAAGCTTCCAAACGTACTGCAGCTGTAAAACTAAATTAAATAAAGCCCCAAAATCTAGAACTTTACAATAGGGAAAACAAGGCAGGCAGCTCCTCAAAGGGGAAAATGAGTGCTCAATGCAAACACTTACTTAGTCATACTGAGTGAAGGTGTGATCAAATTAAGTTACTTTAAAATGTGATTTAATATAGCCACATCTGAAATATACTACACACAGCATGTAAGTGCTGTGGCATTTGGCTATGTACAGCAAAGTTAATAGAAAGTTAAGTAGATTTTACTTGTCAACTGATGAGCAGGGTGTAAATGGGCAGGACAATCGTAGCCAAAGGTCAAAATATTTTTAAATATATCAATACAGTCTCAAATCATACTTTGGCCATACCTTTCACTTTGACAAAAAACAAGGCATCTTAAAATATGTTGGTGTAATTCAACAGCCTTATGGCTCCCTCCCCCATGGCGCTCAAAATGTGGTTCCAAGGTACATTGTGTTTTTGTCCTGGAATTACAATGGCACAGACAGTTTGCATTGAACAGCACGGAAGATTCAGACACAAAGATACGGGTAGAACACAGCCAGATATCCATGAAATAGAGATCTCTTTCTGACGTCAGAAGCTGTCATTACCAAACCATCTGAAACTATGGAAGTTGCTGGCTCCAGCTGCCAAAATGTCCACACTCCTTGTATTTTCATATAGCTCTGAGGGGTGTTCAAGCTGCACAAGACACTGAAATCTATAAAGCCTGTTAACACTTGTGCTTCAGGTGCTGCATCCCTCTGCCTGGACTCAGGACTCCTAAAATTGTAGCTTGACTAGTATGTAATACAAGTTGTTAAAGTGTAAGCAAAAGTAAAGAAAAAACCTTTAGCCACACCTAGGTGCTCAAGAGGAGGGAAAAGATGCACATTATTTTTTTTGGGCATCAGCTGCTTGACTTGCATAGCAGTGCTCGTAGCACTAACTCCTATTAAGCAATTGCATGGTGACCACTGGGAAAGACTTGGCTCCCCCTAAAGGGCCACTGACCTGTGACACTGCCTTTATCTGATCATAAACAGCAATAATCAGTGACATTGCTAACCTTCCAAAAGAAAGGTTTTCAAAGGAATACTTGAAAGCGGTCACACGTAATGACAACAATTCCTTTTATTTTTAGGAGAGAGAGGAGCTATTTTTCCGAGCTCTTTGTCTTTGCCACACTGTTCAAGTAAAAGATGATGACAGCGTAGATGGACCGAAGAAAAACCAGCTCTCAAGAAGATCTTGTATATATATTTCATCATCACCTGATGAAGTTGCTTTAGTTGAGGGAATACAGAGGTATGTGCATAGTTGGGTATTATACTTTGTTAATCTACACATCTAATCACTGAAGTTCAAAATTGTTTCCAGCACAAAAATCATAGTAAAAAACACCAAATCTGTAGAGCTGATGATTTTCTTAACATACAGTCATGATTTTTCATATTCATAAATCAAATAAACAGTTTTGTTTTGTTTTTCAGAAGATAAGCTCAGTCTTAAACCCTTATGGCATGCTTAAACTGGATAATTATATATTTGTTGTATTCATTCTGTTGATGTGTGTTTCATTTTACAGACTTGGTTACACCTATCTGAGGCTGAAGGACAATTTTATGGAGATCTTAAATCGGGAAAATAACATAGAGAAGTGAGTGGTTAAAAATATAACAAAATAGACTGATGTGGAGTTTCTACTGATGTGTGTAATAAATCGTTCTGTCCCTATTCATTCATTTCTAGTTCAGAAAAGTCAGAAATTTTACATTTTAGTAGAAAAAGAAATTATCTACTAATATTTATAATTGTAATAGACTCTGTAGGCTCTATATTTTTACTTAGTCTCTTAATTTGACAGTATATGCAATATGAAATATTAATATAACAACAAAGTTGTGGTGTGGGATTCATGACCTAATCTAATAGTTCCTAATAGTTTTAGGAACTATGTGTATTTTTCCTTTGTTATATGGTAAATAGTATTTTATTAATAGAAAATAGTGTATTCCTAACTTCTTGTTCACAAATCTTATCATTTACAAGAGGGTAATATCTATAGAATAAATTTTTATAGCTGGTTCAAAGAAAAATAAAACAGGTACGTCTTTTTTGGTCATTTTGCTTTGACATGTAGAATAAATCTTGTAGACCATAATATGAGTAAAATTTTCAATAATGTTTAAGTAGTACAGCTGTTTAATGGGATGTACATACTTTTGAAAATGTTACCTTACACTTCTGTAGATTTCTACTGGTTAAGGCTATTGTATATCCCTGTCTTCCTACATGTGTACTGTGCTAACTACCCAGGGACTCTTGGACACAAATATAGGAACTCTGCTGTTATTTTGCCCTTTTTAGAGGAATACAGAGGATTTTTCACAAAGGTTGCTTCAGACTTTTGTGGCTCAACTCATAAGAACTGGAGTCAAATTTGGTTATTTATGAAAGCACTATAATTATTAGGAATTTTCTCTAAAATGCATCACAGTTTGTAGACATAGGGCTGATCCATCTCCTTGTTAGAATCTGTTGTAACTTTTAATGAAATTAATACTGTCACCTTGCGTGGGTTTCAATCCCAGGCTGTTGTAAGGACTTGATTGGATGATCTAATTAAAATTATCTATTTTATAAGCAAAATATTAATAGAGATGAATCCTGAAGAGATGGGGATTAGTGACTGGAATGCTTATGTTTGTGCTGGAAAAAAGAGGGCTCTCTTAGATAAAGTGCAATAGGTAAGAGTAAATTATAAAAGTATATAAACTGATGAATTGTGCAGAAACAGTAGAACAGGAACTTGTGTTCATTTCTCCTCCTAGGAAGGAAAGGAACGTGGGATAAAAACAATGTAAAATATAAAATTAGTAAAAAGAAATGTTTTCTTTCAGTCAAATAACTTTTCAGTCAATACTTGAACAAGATTAATGAAATTAGGTGGGCACTTTGGGGGATAGGAATAGTCAAAATTAGAAAAATATTAAATAAAGGCTTCCATGTAAGCAACTACACATTTAAAATCCAAAGGCTATGCCTGGGTATTATAAGTAAGAATTTATTTACTTTATAAGTAGTATAGTGCTCTACTGCAAGGTTTCTAGTCTTCTGCTTAAATAAATTATATCAACTGTCCACCCAAAGATACTTGTGAACCTCATGCAGGCAAATTCTGTTTCAAGTAATTAGGAGCTGAGGGCCTGCTGTTTATTATTTGTAATCTGCTGTTTCGTATTCCATAGTATTCAATATAATTTTCCATGTTAGAAGTCATGTTTTATTTGATATGCTCAAATCCAGTCTAGGGATCTGGAAAAACAGTTATTTAAAAAAAAATATTCTGTTTCTGTTTCAGGTTTGAATTACTAGAGGTTTTGAGTTTTGATTCTGTTAGACGGCGAATGAGTGTAATTGTTAAATCTTCAACAGGTAGGGCTGCCACATTCTGTTACTTCTTAGATGTTTTTGTTTCTCTCAAATTAATTTCAGGTTTATCAAAGAGCTGAGCATTAATCACGGTTCATGTGCCTTTCTTTATAAAAAAGGGGACTGGGTACCAGCAGAAGTGCAAATTTATAAAAAAAGTTGGAAGAAATCTTTTTGAAGACTTAGTAATTTGGATGTTTTTTTGCAGAAAGATATATTTGGCCATTTTGAATTCCATATGCTGTTTCTTTTAGGTGATATATTTCTGTTTTGTAAGGGAGCAGATTCTTCCATATTTCCTAGAGTTAAGGAAGGCAAAATTGACCAGATACGATCCAGAGTTGAACGCAATGCAGTGGTAAGATTCCATTTTATTTATCTGTTCATGTGATATCAGTGTCAAAAAACATTTAACTGTTCTGACCTCCTGCTTGATCTGATAACAGATCTGTTGTCCCAGGCACTGAGGTTATTCTGTGCCAAAGAGCACTCAGGCTGTATGGGTAGCAGTCTGTCTTACTCCCTTATTTGAATCTGTCTCCCATCTCATCCTCCAGATAGCAGTTGTGAGATATGAGTGCAGTAGCTATGCACAACTGTATGTTATACCAGAGGTCATCAATCAGCTATCTAGTATGGCACTGTGCTGGTCTGAATTAACTTTTGAATGAAGGAAAACGTTAAAAACTTCACTGAAAACCTCATCCCTTCTTTCAGTCCCCAGCCTTGGCAATTGCGATTTGCAGCCTTTGATTGCTTTACAAGCTCTTAAAAGAGAAAATCCATTAGA